GAGAAATTTGGAGAGGAAGCAGTCCAGATTGCTTGCTGAATAGTGGTGGTAAAGGAATTTACGGCATTATCGAGGTCTTCTGGGCTTTTCAGGGTTATTCTGAGGTCAATTTTATCGGAAAGGATTTGATGAAAGAGTTTACAGTTAACTGGGCCTCTGATGAAGGACGGTGAAGGGGGTTTAGGAATAGGAGCTATTGATAATTGAAGTATTAATGGACTATGATCTGAGGAAAGTTCGTCAAGACGGGTAAGGGAATGATTGAGGGTACCTAAACCACTGTGGATAAAAAAATCAAGGATATCAAGATTGCGGTTAGGATCAGTGGGCCAGTAGGTTGGTGAGTTGGGTGGAAGGAGACTGAAACGTTGGGTATTGAGTGCAGACAGAAATGTTCTGCCACGAGAATTCGTGGTTCTTGAACCCCAAACTTGATGCTTGGCATTTAAGTCTGCACCCAGGGTGAAATGATGACCTAAGGAGTTGAGGAGAGAACTGAACTGGACTTTAGATATGGGTCGGTTAGGAGGGCAATATGCTGATGCAAGGGTGACTGGAAAGGAGAAGGTTTTGATGACAATAGCTGTTGACTGTAGGAAATCTTGAGTAAGTGATGGGAGAGGGATTGGTGTACGATGACAGCAGTACCGGCATGTGCTCTACCGTCAGGATGGTCAGTACGGTATGTTAAATACTGTGGGATTTTTAAATGCTGTTTTATGGTCAGTCGAGTTTCTGTAATTAGGGCTACGTCAATGTTCTTGTCTTGTAGTAAACCTGTTAGTTCGTCAACGAGATTTCTAACACCATTCGCATTCCAAAGGAGAAAGGACATGGGTTTTGGGATGTGAGTCTTTAAGGATTTTTTAAAGGAATGATGAGGTGAGATACGAGATTTGTAAGGAGTGATATGAGTGGAGTAACTAGGGATTTGAAATCGGTGAGGAAAGATGCTAACAAACTGGTGAGATCTGTTGCATTTGAAGGAGGAGGAACTTGAGGTTGTTAATGATTATGTGTGTTAGGATGAATAGAATATTGAGGTTGGGGCTGAGGTAGTTGCTGCGGCAGGGATTCACATGTATTATTTCGGTTCTTACCTCCAAGTAGTTTGGAGTATGATAAATTATTATTAACAATTCTAGAAGGTTCTTTTCTTGGTCTGGTTGTCTCATCTTGAATGCGGTTCTTCTGGTATCTGGATTTGAGGCTCTTATAGGTTTGGCAGCCTTTGTAGTTGGTCGGGTGTCCCTCCTGGCATAGTGCTCACACTGCAGGATCTTGTATTGGTTTGGTGCACTCCACAGATTTGTGCTGTTCACCACATTTCACGCAACGCGGCAGATGGTGACAATAAGTTTTCGTGTGGCCATACGCCTGGCAATTGTGGCACTGTACAATTTCCTTCTTGGGGTATGGATTCTCTATCTTCACGATAGTGTAGTACAATCTCTTGATATCATATATTTTCTCAATACCAGGTGATGGCTCTAGATCCACGAAAAATAAAGGTAGTGGAACTTTATTACTTACTCCTGGCTGCTCCTTATTCTCCTTCAGAACGTTGGTTACCTGACGCACTTTGAAACCAAGCGTCGCTAGTTCTTCTTTTATCACTTCAGTTGGGGTTGAGGAGTGTAAATTTCTTACCACCACTCTCCTGTTTCAGCTGGTATGTGTGGAAATTTGCATTCGGTTCTGACAGGTACTTCACAATTTTTCGGTAGGTTTCTGCAGTATCTGGTGTTATTTTTGTATCGTTGGTCCTGTTGAGGCAAGAATAACAGTCGGAGCAGATTTCGTTTAGTTATGTACACAGTAGTTGGAAATTTTTGATATTTTTTACAAATATCGGAGGAGGCCTTGGTTCCCTGGGGATTGCTGCAGACTCCATTACTTCTCTGTCATTATGAAGCACTTGAAACGGGTTTGGAGTGAAGAATGGAGATTTTTCAACCATTTCTTGCGAAGAGGTACCTGGTTGTGAGGCTGAGGTTCTGGACCTGAAGTTTTCACTGTGGTTATTAGAGCTATTTCTCGCAGGCAGCAACGAGTTCTTTGTTTCGCTGGTGAATCACGAGGGATACTAACACCGTCTGACCGAGTCCTCTTGGTGGGCACCTTACTGGATATCACCTGCTGACAATGCCGCATATCATAAGAGAAAAAAAAAAATTAAAATAAAAAAAAATGTAGCAAACAGTAAATAACAACTGCTCTGGTGTACACTTCAACTGTATTCAGTAAATAATCAAAGAGATTCTGCTGAAAAATAGGCTAAAACTGAGAGAAGATTTCAGAGCACGACCTTCACATCAGCTGATCCACTGCCTTCTCCGGCAAAATAATTAAATAATACTATTTGTATAATTTAGTATTTATTTGACCGCACCCCCCTCCCCCCCCCCCCATCAACTCCTTCTCATATTATATCATGGTCAACCATCTCTACATCGATATTAGGGTACATTATACTTTTTTCGAGGGTGATTTTTATGAAAATATTATTAAATATTTCGCTATTGTGCATCACGTTTTTGTAAACTTTCGGATTTATTCGATATTGGGATCCACTAGTATATAGTGAGGGGCTTTTTTTATGAAAATACTGTCGAATTTAAGATTGTGCAATCACGCATCATGTTTGTTTAAACGTTTGAATTTAATCGGTATTAAGGTCCACTATTATGTTGTCGGATACGTTTTTTATAAAAATATTCTCGAATTTATGATTGCACAACCGTGCATCATCTATTTGTAATTTTTTGGATATAATCGATATTATGGTCAACTATTTAGAAGTGGTAACTCCACGGTGGATCAGGTATTTGGATGGTGTATGATTCTGAAAAAAGGTATGGAGTGTAAAATGGTCATTCACCACCTTTTTATAGATTTCCGAAGTGCACATGAGAGTATTAAGAGGCCCTCTAGCTCTATGAAGACTTGCGAGTTTGGAATCCCATTCAGGATTATCCACCTGATTCAAATTACAATGAATGATGTTAGATGTGCGGACCGGGTGCAAGTGGATGTATCCCCCGAATTCGTCACAAAGAAAGGATTGAGAAAGGGGGTGACACCCTTGCTTGCTTACTCTTTAATCTTGCCTTAGATAGGGTAATAAGAAAAACTGGGATAGGAACTGCAGGTACCATTTATGATAGGATGGTGCAGGTGGATGCTACGCAAATAATTTGGACATTGTAGCTAGTTCTTTAGAAGCCTTAAAAGATGCTTTTCTTAACATAATGGAAGGAGCAGCTGGTATGGAGCTAACAATAGAAGACTAAATATATGAGAGCTGGCCCGGGAACAGATAATTTCATCAGAGACCCTGTCACAATTGGACCGTTCACATTTGATAATGTAGACCAATTTACATATTTGGGCTCAATAGTTAATCGCTCAAATAAAATATGTTTTAAGATCGACCAATGAATAAAGAAGTTCAATTGCTACTATTTTGGCCTCAAAAAGCACCTTAATAGTAAGGCCTTGTCTCTTCTTTATAAAAAACCAACTTTATAAAACACTTATACGACTGATATTACCCGATGTCTCAGAGAGGTGGACTCTGACAAGTTCCGAAGAGAAAGAGTTCCTTATCTTTGAAAAAAAGATTTTGTGTCATATTTTTGGACCCATTAAGCAAGGGAACCAGTGGAGAAAGTGCTATAACAGAAATATATGAACTATTTGGTGAAGTAAATGTCGTTTGTTTTATAAAGTGTGGTCGACTGAGATGGGCAGGCCACGTAGCAAGAATGAATGAGGTAGAAATTCCCAAAGAAATCTTCTTGAGAATCTGGACCAGTCGAGAGGAAGAAGGCCAAGGCTGAGGTGGGAAGACGCAGTTACGAAGGATGCTCAGACCCTTTTAGGCATTCAAAATTGGAAAGCAGCTGCTCAAGACCGAGCCACCTAGCGAAGGCTCATTTAGGAGGCCAAGGTCCACATCGAGCTGTAGTGCCATTGAAAGAAGGAAGAGGAAGCATCAACTATTAAGTTGTTGGGGACACTTTTTATGAAAATATTGTCGAATTTAAGATTGCTCAATTGCACATCATACTTTTGTTTTTTTTAAAGAGCTCTTCTTATAACACAATGAACTCCCATTTAATAATACTGACATTTTAATTATATTTTTGATATGATTATTGCTAGATATTTTCATAGAAAAAATTTTTATTCAGTTGATATTTCCTTAAAATAAATATTTTTTAAAGCATATTTTTATTGAATTTTTTTTCACATATGAATACTGAATAATTCTAAGAATAAATTAGAATTTAAAAGTGCATTTAGACATTTTTCAAACTATGCAAAATACAGCCAACTAACAGTGACATTATTGCCAAACCAAACTATTCATTTTATTTTTCTTGATACTGACAGTGGATTGAAAATATCAAAAACAAGAAACAAAAATACTATCATAGTGAAATAACCGGTACTACTTCACTACCAGGCCGGGTCGAAACCTCACTTCTTATCTATGTTATCTTGCGTCACGTCACATAACCTCCCTCTTCTTATCCTGCCAAACCTTTCAGTTATTACATTGTTTATTTTTCAATTATTCCCTTATTACGTTCACTTATTAAATTCTTTATTTTTGACCCGTTTGTGTTTATTTTTCATTTTTTTTTTAGTTTATTTTTTTTGTTTCTGTTTACACTTTCAATAATACAATAATACGAAGATAGGAATTACGAGAAGGCTTATCACTGCCTTATCAGAATTATCAGTGTTCAGATTTTAAACATTGGAAGATAGCAGTCAGTCCCAGCCTGTTAGTGAAGAAGTACCAAATAACCATTTATATATTTCTTTGTGAAATGTCTAAACTCACCTTAAGGTTCTTCTAAGACTCATCATAATAAATCCGATAAATTATTCATTCAATAACGCCCAACTGTGATTATATATATATATTCCAATTTGTCTTGCATTTATTTATTTTACTGTTCCTATTTTTCTTTATTTTTATATTTCAGGAAGTTTCTGGAAGTATTACCATAATGAAAAAGGCTCATGTTTATGAAGATGAAGAAAATATTGAAGAAAAATATAGTAATGACAGTTCCATTATAGAAATATATGGTTTTCCTGAAGAATTTAAAACTCAGGACTTATATGCCACATTTTCTCCATATGTTAATAGAGGTTTTCAGTTAAAGTGGGTTGATAACAACCATGCCCTTGGTATATTTCCTTCACCTATAATAGGTATGTTTAAGTTGGGTATAAGTCCTCCTTATGTTCTATGTGCAATAAATTTAATCCATAGTTCTTTATTGCTTTATTCTATAATGACTTTTTCCTACATTTAAATTTTAGTATTTTTAATAGTTAATTTTCGAGATTTACATTACAGCTAACTTTTTATGAACAGATAACTCATGTTTCTTTTTCTTACTACTATCAAATTTCAAATAATTTATTATATTTTTTTATAGCCGAAATATGAGCATTCTACCCAGTAAATATAATTGATAGCATTGTAACAAATAAATAAATTTACTTATCTCTGTCAATAAATTAATTAATTAAAGTAATTAATTTATTTTGTAGTTAAGTAGCTAATTAATTAAGTGTCTTTGTAAAAATACATTAAGGAAAGGAGGAAAAAATCTCTGAAAAGAAAACAAGGATAATGATGGAAATTTTATTTGGCGGAACAAATAAATAGTAGGCAGAAAAGAGAATATTTCATGGAGCTGCTGGAAGGGAGTTAGGTCAGTTCGGATGAAAAGTTAGCAGGGAAATCAATCCTGAAATCCTCCTGTGTATCCAGTGGCGTAACAGGTTCAAACAATGGAAAAATATTCCAGCACCTTTGCTGCCTATGTACAGTTGCATTTCAGGAGTGATTTTTCTGCTAACTTGCCAATTATTTCCTATAATTCATCCTTGCTGATAAAATCGTTTTATCAGAATAAACCTTCATCGTTTTCTGCTTTTCATCCAAACTGACTCAACTCCCTTCCAGCAGTTCCATGAAATACTCTCTTCATCTGCCTAATATTTATTCCTCCCGCCAAATAATGTTTCATCATTATTCTTGTTTTCTTTTCAGAGATTTTGGCAATTCTTTTCTCATTCTCTTAATGCATTTTATAAATCTCCTTATTCACTTTCGCATATTTCACTATTTTGAGACCAAATACTTCCAATGATTATGGTTACCTTGAAGAAAACTTTTCTTTGCCTCTTTTCATCTTTCTTTATGCAGAGAATAATTTTTTTATTATAAAAATTTTATAATTGTTTGATATGATTGATTGTGCTGTATCAAAAGAACATTGAGAAATTCGCTAAGACTCTGATAAGAGAAGCAAAGTGAAATGGCCTACAAGTAAATGAAGACAAAACAAAATATATAATAATAAGCCGAGAATTCCTCCCCAATAACAGGATCTGCATAGAAGGGAAATCAGAAATTGTTCTTGATAGTAGAAAAATTCAAATACCTTGGCTCCACAATGACCTCAATAAATGACCAAAGGTTGGAAATAGTCATAATACGTATAACAAAATAATATAAGACTTTTATAAGACCATAAATAGTGTATAACAAGCACAAACAGAGCTTTCCTCTCCCTTTAAAGGTTATTGAAATCTCAAGGTACAATGATGTGATTAAGATAGTTCTAATATATGGCTGTGAGACCTGTACACTAACCAGTGTCCTAGAAAAAAATATTGAAAGATTTGAGAGAAAAATTCTCTGCTCGATAACCGGAGTAATTTGGGATGAGTACTCCATGAGTACTAACACATGGAGTGCAAGAACTAACAAAAGAGCTGCTTGCAGAAACTGGTCAATCTATATCTCATGATGTAATGGCACAGAGGTTAAGATGGGCAGGGTATGTAGCTCGAAGCAATCCATCTGGAAGCATGTACATAACAATGAATGCCTCAATAGAAGACAAAAGACCATGTGGAAGTTCACAATGCAGATGGATAGATAGAATCAACAAAGATGCAATAGAGCTGCATGCAGATAACTGGAAAGAAATAGCCCAACTTTGTTTTTTTTTAGTAAATAGTTGCAAGGAATGCAACAATATGGAGGGATGTGGGGGAGGATGCACTGTACGGGAGCCTAGCCCACGGACTAATAGATAAGTTCTGGATTCGCTCAATTTTTTTATAGTTGGTTAACCAAGTTGCATCCCATGTAGGAGAGTTGTTAGAGATTTGAATTCAAATAACAAATTTGTATAGAATAAGTTAAATTTTGGAAGTTAGTTACGATTTTTTGTTAAAATATAGGATAGCAATAGATAATTATTTTATTTTTATTGGCTTTAGTTAGACAAATTCCTTCTTTTGAATTTAAACTGTTGCTCTTAGCTATAAAACTTCTTTCATTTTATATTGACATAAAACTCTCTTGAGCTTGTATTATCAGAGAGAAGTTTTTTTCATTGCAATTATAAAGAATGTTTTTGCTTAAATAAGAAATTTTGGCCAAGATCTTTTTACATTATAATTAAGATCTTCCATTTTAGAGTAAAGAACACTGTTAACGCTGCATACACTTATATCTTTATTTTTATTATTATTTTTTCTCACCATTATTAATTAAATGTTTACTTGTTTTTGTTTTTTGTAATAGTCAGAGTATAGTTGTGTATAATAATAATAGTTGAGAATAATAGAATAGACAACTATTCTCTGACTATAAAAAAACAAATAAACATTTATTTAATTAACATTAAAAAGGGGGTGAATGATGAGAACAAACAATAATAAAAAATAAAGATATTAGTGTATGCAGCGTTATAAGCGTAGAGAACTTCTTAAAACAAAATTATTGCACACTGAGTGAAACTGATATAATTTGATACAATTTTATTATATATCATCATTACATAATAATACTGGCTGACTATAGTTTATAAATTACTTATTTTGATGGATTCATATTTGTACTTCTGGCTTGGATTTTATTTCAACTATTCTATTGTTTATTATTATCATTGCACTGACTATCATTTATAAATTACTTATTTTGATACATTCATATTTTTACTTTTGACTTAGATTTTATTTCACCTATTCTATTGTTTCATGAGAAATTGGTTGGGGTGAGCAGTCACAAGTAAAGATAAATAAATTATATATTTTTTTATTTTTGCCAATGATTCAGCCCAAGGTTCAGGCCTTCATCATGGCTAAGAAAAGACAAGATAACAAAACTTGTGAGAAACTAGTAAATGGTAGAAGAATAATAATATGTAGAGCAAAATTAGGATATATAACATAGCGGTAAAAAAGATTAGGAACTTATGAAATAAATAATAAGGGTAACAGAGTTAGGAAATATTAAATAAATAATAATGGTAACAGAGTCAGGAATTTATGAAATAAACAATAATAAAATAATGTAAGAGCATAATGAAATTAGCAAAGAAATGATAAATGAATTAACAAGGAAATGTAATGGAATATTAAGAAATAAAAATGTAAGTGTTAGACATAAAATAAATTGGATCACGTAGTTGCTAAAAATTGATGTCTTAGTGTATTAAAAATAAGTGAGAAAGACAGAATAAAATGTAAAACAGAGAAAAGGAATATGAAGTTATATAAAGAAAATAATAGATTTAAATAGAATAATTAAAGTACAATAAAATCTGTCAAAACATACTGACTACATAGAAGAGAATTGCTAAGTTAAAATTATGTAAAATAAGAAATAAGATGTAATGAGTACTTGTATCAATATAAATAAAATAGTGGCATAGATATAGAAAAGAAAGTAACGGTAGGAAGGTAAATGAGAAGAAAACAAAACTAAAATATAAATTGAAGACCAACTTGTGTTCTCACGAAGAGCTCCTCCATAAGACAAGATAGACGAAAAGGAAACCTGCAGGACAAACTTAGCGTGGACTGTATGTAATGGTCAACAGAAATATGTGAAATAAAGTACAGAAATGTATACTATATTAATCTTTAATTTTTATCTTGTCTTTTCTTAGCCCTGATGAAGGCTTGAACCTTAGGCCGAAACATCAGCAAAAATAAAAATAAATATAATATAAATATGTTATATATATATATATATATATATATATATATATATATATATATATATATATATATATATGACATATCTTTGCTTTTTTTATATAATATATTTATTTTTACTTTTTACTTGTGACTGCTCACCCCAACCAATTCCTTATCAATTATCCACGGCAGTCAACTATTATTCTATTGTTTATTATCTTATAGATATTTTTAAATTATATATGTTTCAGCGGACGAAGTATTGAGTTCTGGCCTACCATTTGTCAAAATAAGATCATTAAATCAAGCAACTCCTCAGTCTAAAGAAAAAGCGAAGAATTTAATTCTTCCAAGTTCTTCGAGGCCCAAAACATGCTCGGCTCTTGCTAGAAGATTAGTTTCAGGGGCGCTAGGTCTTAGGGCTGTTTTTACACAAGCTGAAATTCAAAGAGAGAAACAAATGTTGAAAGAAGCACGAGGTATAAGTTTATAATTTTTTTTTTATCATTTTGGATTGCTTATATGTATACATGTATTGTTTTGTTATAATAATTTTTAATTACAACAGGATAAGATTTTTCTCTCTCTCCGATAGTGATAGGTCCGTGAAGAACCCTAAATTCTTCTAACTCCCAACTACAAGTATCCTCAGATCTGCTTCCTGCCAGTGCAATCTTGGTTTTTCTCTGCTTATGATTCGATCATCTTAATCTTCTTTTCATAATGGTGGAAACATCGGATGGCTCATATAAGCATATTAATTGTTGATTTGTTCTCATCTTGCATTACTGCATAGAATTTACCTTTACCATGTATTTAGGGATTGCTTATTCTATTTATTTTTCCTTTTCTTTTTAGTTTAGGAACCATGTTTCAGTACAGGTCTACAGATTTTCTTGTACACTCATACCTTCAGACCTCTTGTTATATTCCTGTTCCGTAGAATATTTTTCAGTGACTAATAGCACTTGTTACCTGGCACTATTCTCACTTTGATTTTCTCTTATATATATTTTATTTGTTTCTGAGATAGAGGTTCCCAGGTATTTTAACATTGCTACACTATCAAAATAGTAACCTATTCTATCCTGTTTCTCTATTTCGAGGATGTCATGTGTTAAAAATAATCTTTATTTTTCTGTACGCAGCTGTTATTCTTAAGGGACATTGTCTCAGAGTAAAGTTATTTTTCTATTATATTTTATATAATCTTTATAACATTAATCTTCAAGCCATCATTTTTTGCTACTTCTTCACTTTTCTCAAATGTTCCTAGAAGAACATTTGTCTGTTCTAATAAAATAAAATTCTACCTGTAATAACAATGTCATCAGAAAAGGCCAGTTCCTGAGTGGATCTATTGTACTTACACTTATTAACTTATCTGGCCAAACACAGTATTGCTTTTATGAAAATTATGACAAGTTTTTTTGAAAGCCTAGTTTCTGAAAAATGCTTGAAAAAGTCAGGAATTTTATGAATAATTCTTTGGAATTTCAATCACCAAAATCAGTAGACACCATTATGGTTGCTCTTGAAGTCTACTATCATCTCTTTAGATATCTCCCATTATATATGGGACACCCTGCATCAATAGTTTTATAAAATTAATTTGAAATAAAAGAGAGAAATACTTTATTAAAAGTAATGCTGCCCTGCTACATAGGATTGCTTTGTATACAGCATACTTATCAATCCATACAGACATTAATTTTATATTACATTTTTCTATTTTTATATATATATATATATATATATATATATATATATATATATATATATATATGACATATCTTTGCTTTCTTTTTTTTTCTCCCCTTTCAGAGCAATACTCTTACAAATTATCAACAATGAACCATATTAAACAATAGACATAGCATAATAAACATTTCCCCAAGATAAAAACAAAAGCAATAAAAAAAAAACTTCTTTTTCTCTTTAAATTCTCAAACGTCAGGAGTTCAATACAACATCGCACACGTATATAACACAGCAATTCCTCGAATGTAGACAAAAAGATAAGATGATTATTGACCAATTTAAAATTTAATAAACAATTAATAAAATATGTCCTCAATCAGTATATAGATGAGAGTGGATGATCCCCAGGGAGTCCAAAATAATATTTTCGGCGAATAACGCTAGCTCCCCAACATCAACACCTAGTTCCTCGAGGAAGTTCCTTGTTCTTTCCGGGATCGTTCCGCAAGACTCAAACCAAAGGCCTCTCACGGTGAACTCTCTCTCTGAAGGTCTCGCAGAATTTCTCTTTTAGGAAAGGGATGCATTTTTCGTATATGTTCCTCTTTTCCCTTTCCACTTCACCCGCCTGATCGAGGTCATTGCTCTCAAAGCAGACAGTTGGATCCAAGATTAGCGATGTTCTTCCTGTCCTGGGAAACGCAACAATATCCGCATATCTTGTAGAGCCTTCACTGTCTATGCAATAGACCTCGTCAAAGCAGGTGAATTCCTTTTCTCCAAGGAGCCTCATCACCTCGAACTTTACCCTATGATGCCAGTGTTTTATGAGGAGGGAATTGTTGGGGCATTTTCCCAGCACATGGGCTGGTGTTTCCGACTCTCTGCCGCATTTACGACAGAGGGACCCAACTTCCTTCGACTGTCCATTGGCTCCTGGGACTCGGCATAAAGGTGCATAATTGATGTTTAGTTTTAAGGCGTTGGACCATTCCGACCCCGAAAGCACTTGTTTCTGGCATATGTATTTATTGGCTTTTGGGGTCTCTTTAAAGTGTTGAACTCCAACGCCTTGCCACCTGCAGCTGTCCCATTCTTCGAAAGAGTTTTCTCTCAGCGACTGTTGTAGAGCTCTCACACTTCGGTGGCCCTGATCCACTCCCAGTCTTTCCGCACATTCTGTGATTTCCGCAATATAATCAAATGTGGACTGGAACAGGGCATCTGGTACATTAGACAGCCGCTGGGCAATGGACCAATGTTGCAAAGGAGCCTCCCATTGACAGCGGATTAGTCCCAATCCACGAAACCTCCTCTGTGCATAGAACATCGCCGTTGATGCATTAGCAGGGAGCCCGATAATGGCCTTGATACTCCTGCAGATATTTGTATCGATTCCTTCCAATATCGCAGGACGTATCTTTGTGAGGGGCGTCGTCTAAGGAGGGTAAGTAAGTCCCGGGAACACGTACTGGTTTACAACGTTGATCTTCTGCTCCAGCTTAAGAAGGCAAGAGCTAACCAATTTGTCCAAGTTGTTTTTAATTTGGTCACCATTTCCTCATTTAATACTAGCTCTCCCGAGAACGCACATTCTAAATATTTTATAGTTTCCCCAGGCTTTATTGATGCTATAACTTTTTCGTTCTCTAGGGAGAGATTTGTTTGTTGCAGCTCTCCTTTCTCGACTATTAAGCCCACCCTTTTCTGTGGATTTATTGCTAGACAACTCTCTGCAGCACCCCTGTAATGTGCTGTAACAGCCTGGTCATCTGCAAAGCCTGTGAGGACCACACATTCTTGGTCGCTGTTTAATTTATATCCTTAGTGGTTGGAAAATTCTTGCTCACACAGGTCGCGGTATAGATGATCTATAGCCAGGTTGAACAGCGAGGGTGACAAGGGTCTGCCTTGATGTACTCCTCTCCGCACCTTGATCCAGCTAGTCGAGTGGGCTCCGATTCCAATCTTGATTTGGTTTGACCCCAGGAGAAACACAATTACGTTTTTCAGGTCCGGTGACACTCCTCTTGCCTCTAGTGAGCCGATTATATGTTCGTGACCAACGTTGTCAAAAGCGCCAACGAGATCTAGAAATACCACCGCGCAATCATTCTTTTTATTCTTAGCATCTTTTATGATTGTGTCGATGATTCTTGTGCTTACGTGTGCTCCCAGTAGGCCTCTGATGAAGCCCCGCTGATTTTTGCTGAAGGTGATCTGTTTTCTCAGTTCATGGTCCTGAACTTTCTCAATAATTCGGCACACAACTGAATAAATGGTAATGGGTCGCCATGATAATATGCTGTTGGCATTTCCTTTACTCTTGTAGACCAGGATTGTGCACCCTTGATGTATAGGCTCTGGTACATACGCCACCCTCAGCATGATCTCCGCAATGGTCTTTATGATATATGATACATCAAAGAATTTAATCATGCGGACTAAAACTCCGTCCGGCCCCGGTGATGTTGATCGCCTTTTTTACTGCTTGGACATCAAGCTCAATTTTCGTAATCCGCACGTTTGCAGAGATTTTCTTTCTCAAAGAGGCTTCTGAAGTTTTTTATTTAATATCACTTTTATTTTTAGAAAGGAAAAATGGGAAAATAAATGTTTGACCGTCATAAAATTATAAGTTTGCATCAATTAGGACTTATAATCAGGGAAATTCAAAAAGAAGTTGTAGGTTCTATTTCTGGAATTCATTATATCATCACTTTCTTTTAAAAACAAGCAAACTTGATAATCGAATGTTCAGACTGATCATTTACAGTATGTAAAATACATACTCCTGCTGCTGAACCACATTTAAAATTTATTGTGTTTGTAGAACCACTAGAAATCTCGTAGATACCTGGCTCAGAAAATAGCTGATGTTCCAAGGATCCAAGTTTCGTCCTCCATGATCAAAAAGAAACTCCTATCATTTGGCCTTAAAGGTTTTGTTGCCAGAAGAAAATAATTTTTTATATCTCTAAACAACTGAAAGCAATCTAAATTTGCAAAAAAAAAAAAAAAAAATCGAAAATTGAACAGAAGAATGATGGAGAGATGAGTCTAATTTTGAAATATTTGGTTCTGGAAGAAGACAGTATGATAGAAATCTAGAGTGGAATTTTCGGATATTATTATCAGAAATTATATTTATATTTTAGTTATTTAATTTAATCTAAATCAATAAGTTACTCTGAGGTACATTACCTTCCATTCATAAAATGTATATCTATAGAGAGTAAAACAAAAAAGAAATTACTTAAAATGTTCCCCTTTTGCCTTGCACAGGCATTTAATCTCCATGGCCAGTCATCAATAGCAGCATGCAGCATTTCTTGAGGAAAGCGCTCAATTGCTCAGACCAGAGATTGTTTGAAGTTTTTCAAGTTAAGGTGTGCTCTGTGACATGCCATCCTCTCCAGTTTGGACCAAAGCCGATAATCTAGTGGGTTGAGATCGGGGCTTCCTGAGGGGCAATCTGAGGCAGAGATGAACTCAGGAATGTTCTTTTGCTGCTGAGTTGACCTGGCGTTGTGAGTTGGAGTGGAATCCTGCTGGAAAACGCAATTGGGGACCGATTTGGTCCCCAACTGTTACAAACAACCATGTAATGTGTGAAACAAATAAATAATAATAATAATGCTTTATTTATTCTGGGATGAGTCCCTTTAGAATAATACAGAAAGACAAAAATGTGGGCTAAGGAGCCTTAGAGATACATAAACAAAAATATAGAGTAATTAAATAGTCAAATTAGAAAAAATAATGGAGGAAATTGTAA